GTGTGTGTGTGTGTGTGTGTGTGTGTGTGTGTGTGTGTGTGTGTGTGTGTGTGTGTGTGTGTGTGTGTGTATGTTGAGGGTGTGTGTGAGCGTGTGTGCGTAGGTGCATGTGTGTGTCACGACTTTTCCTTCATCCTACCTGCGATTTATGGCCACCCTTTCTATTTGGGTCTGCTCCGAAGTCCATTTTTGCTCTTTTCATCTCTCGAAGCCGACCCTCATCTCTGTATTGCTCACATGCTAGCTGCACTATGCTCGTTGCCTCCCTTGTCTCTTGTCTTGATCCAGCAATCTAAATGCAAGGAAAATGAGCAATAGCGAAATGACAGAAATTCCAAATTGCAATTCACATTGAATGCCAGAAAGTTGCAAGTTTTCCACAAAGCAAAAATGCGCTGATATGATGTGATATCGCACGAAAAGAGAACTGAAGCAGAGAAATCACTTGTCAATGAAAGCCCTCTCCCCACCGTCAACAATGTACCTGAAGCTCTTTGCCCTATTGGCACTCAGCGCGCAGACTACGAGCTTACAGCTACTATACTAGCCTACAAAAATGACAAAGCAACCGGTTGACTTCAGCAGCAGCAACCAAAGTACATGCAAATGGCGACCATGTAGACCTCCGCCAGGACCAGGTACGTGCTCTCACATCTTCTCCCTCGCTCGCCCTCTGAATGCTCACCCTCGTCTTCACCCACAGCTTCCCTTCCACTTCCGAAGACCACCATCACTCCCACTGGCTTCCCACTAGCTCAAGCCCGGCCATGGGGGCCGAGCTATGGTGCTGCTTCCACTCAGCCGCCACCACCTGATGACCATGCTCGCCCGACACTTCCACTAGCGGCCTCCTTGTGCTCGAGCCAGCAGCGCTCCCGCACCAGAGGCAAGTGCCCGAATGCTTCGCCCGTTGCCTGGCCCTTTCCTATATGGAAAGCGGTCGGGCCTGTTGGCTTTCTCTACTGGGAGGCCCTTGTGCCCTGTAGCTTCATGTTGGGCCAAAGTGTCTGCGCCCAGGCCCGTTTCAACAGTGGCCTGAACCCCCAGCAGTTAGGTGCGCCCAGCCGCCCAGCACCAAGGGAGGTTTATCCTGCTTCCTGATAGGCCGAGAGGCCAGCTTCCAAGTCAAGAACAGAAGAGCCTAGAAGGCTCACGGAAGATACTGATGCTTGGGTGCAGGGCACATGTAACCAGCTCGCACGGGCGGGGTAACTGTCTGGTCGCCGACTAGGACTGGCAAATTTTGCAATATTCAGGCCTCTTTGCGATACAGGGCCTGCCTTCACTTAGGCCGGGCACAATGCTTGCAGCAGGGGGCCCATACGGGCATGCCGAGGACTCGTATCGTTGCAGAAATGTTTTTTTTTTCTTTTTTTTTTTCTTTTTTTTTTTTCTGTTGTTGTTGTTGTAAGGCTCCAGGCGAATCTTCTCTTCTCTCTGTATCGTTCCAATTTTTTTTTCTTTTTTTTTTCTTTTTTTTTTTCTTTTTTTCTGTATCGTTCCCCTGTGCGTTTTTTGAGTTCTTTGTTGTTGTTGTTGTTGTTGTTGTTGTTGTTGTTGTTGTTGTAGTTTAATGCAAAAGAACTCAAAAAACATCTTGCCCACTAGTCAAAGTGCTACGGGAAAGCCTTTCGGGTTTACAGGGAGACCTTTCGCTTTGAAAACATTTTTTGCAGGCAAGATTCGCACGGGCCAACGCAATCAGAAAGAACAAAGGAAAGGAAAATGGAGAATCACCTTGCGTTGTAGACAGCATTGTCTTCCATTGCACCTCCTTGGTTTCTTGGTTTTCGTCTGCTTGACGCACTCTGGTGTTCATGCCGTGCTTATGTTCCTGTGTTTTTGGCATGCAGTGGCGGTTTGCGAGTAAAGAGAGATATTTCCGAGTACGCATCATTTGTTCACGGCTTCAAGTGTCCTGCAGTGGACGAAAAATTTGAGACTCTCCAAGTGTCAGTATTTTTTGCAGCTCAACACTGTTATGCATGTGCTCTCTCTCTCTCTCTCTCTCTCTCTCTCTCTCTCTCTCTCTCTCTCTCTCTCTCTCTCTCTCTCTCTCTCTCTCTCTCTCTCTCCCTTTTTTTCTGTTTTTTTTTTGCTGGTTTTGTTGATACAGAAGAGTGCAACAAACACCTAGCTAGTAGTAATGAACTGATCTTTTTCAAGTACGGTCGTAGCACAGATTTTTCTTTCCGTCCGATGGGGAATGAGAAATAGCCCCCCAAAAAGCTGTCTGGGACATCAGTATCGAGTCTTGACCTTTAAGTAGCGGCATTCCTCTCCTGCTAGGATTTTTTTTTTTTTACTACTCTCATGCTAGGATTTTTTATTTTTTATTTTTTTCCCATCCCACAACAAATCTTTAAATGGGATGCCGGTGACCATTGACCTGCCGTGCGACCCCTCTTTTTTTTTTTGAGTGAATATTTCCCCGTGCGGGTCCGCTCGTGTGCTAAACGTACGGAATTTTCTGCACGGCATCCGCTTGCATGTATGGTGAATTTTCACTTCTCAGCGGTCAGTGACATTTCACTTCTCCAAGAAAGCAAAGACAAAAGCGTGCCATATTTTTTGCTGGATCACTGATGATGATGGTCAATCGTGTTTTTTTTTTTTTTTTTCCGTTTCATTTTTTTTTAATAATGATGGTCGGTTGATTCTGTTTCCTGCAGGTTGGCGAATGTGTTTATTGTGGCGCCAGATAGTTTACCCACCCTTGTGGATGGGAGTTTGCGTGGCATGGGACGGAAGAGTGTCCAAAGGTGTGCAGAAGTTTTTCTTCTTTATCTTTTTGCTTTCCCTCCCATCTATTCGTCCCTCTCCCCTTTCGCTTCTCCCAGGATTTTTTAGTCTCTGAAAATTAGACTCACTGTTTATCTTTCTTTCTTTTCTTCTTTTTTGAAGTTTTTTTTCTTTTTTCTTTTTTTTCTTTTTTCTTTTTTTTTTTTCTTTTTTCTTTTTAGAAAAAGTTTGGACTGTTTCTCGATTTATGTGTGTCATCCTTGCGCAGGGGCCATGCTAATATCTTCATTCTCTTTATCGTTTCAATTTTTATTTTTTCTTTCTCTCTTCTTTTTTCTTTCGCTTTTTCATCTTATCTCGTCTTCTTTTGTTTTTCTGCCTTACGTTTTTTTTTTTCCCCTCTCTGCCGATCCTTTTCCCCTTCCTTCTCTCCCACCCCCTCTCTCTCAGAATACGCCGCTTTTTATGGTCAAATTATCGTCTGGGTTATTGTTTGAGTTCGAGTGGACCTCTATATCTGAGATTTTTTTTTTTTTTTTTTTTTTTTTTTTGGGACAAATGCCCCAATCTATTCGTGGGGAGCAGCACGTGCTGGTGTGAACTGTGGGCAAGGTCCCACTTGCACGGATTACGAGAATTTGGCCGTTGATCTTTGCGATCTACGGTCAATATATCGCTTAATTCGTGTACGTGGGACCTAGCCCCGGGTACATCGCTCTTTATGGTAATTTTGTGTTATTTTGTGGGTTATCATTTCAGTTCTCAAGTGGATGGTGGATGGACATTGTGCTTATGCCTGTGTTCCTTTTCACGTGCGTGCACCACCTTTTTCTTTTCTTTTTTCTTTTATTTTTACGAGTGTCATCCTTGCGCAGGGGCCATGCTAATCTTCTCTGTATCGTTCCAATTTTAACGGATGTCCCGGCCAAAGGACACCATCTTTTTCTTTTCTGTTTGCTGTGGAATTTTTTATTATTTTTCAGACAATGTGGAGGGATGGGCAGGAGAAAGAAGTGCCGAGACAGAATGACAGAGGGTAGCTTTGCATTGCTCGGTGTGCATGCTTGCGGAGGAATGAGCAAGGAGAACAAAGTGTGGAAACAGGAAAGGGTTGCTTGTGCGCAATTTTTTGACCCGCGTGCTTGTGGATGGGTGCGCACGGAGAGGAAAAGCGGAATGCAGAGAACGGGGGAGGGTTGCTTGTGTCTACTTTTTCAGCCTGCATGCTTGTGGAAAGATGAGCAGGGAGAAAGATGGCTGGGAGACATGCGGGAGCGGTGCTCCTGTGGACTTTTTAAACCTCTCCTAGGGACAATCTCTCCTTCTCTGTCCAACAACCTTTTTTCCTTACACAAGCCCTCTCTCTCTCTCTCTCTCTCTCTCTCTCTCTCTCTCTCTCTCTCTCTCTCTCTCTCTCTCTCTCTCTCTCTCTGTGTGTGTGTGTGTGTTGTGTGTGTGTGTGTGGTTGTCTTTTAGGAAGGCAAGGCATTGATCTTCTTGTATGCGGGCAGTTGTTGTTGTTCCGTTCATGTGATATGATTCTGATTAGTACATCTATGTGTGTGCATCTTGAGTCCGACGAAACAGTTTGTCACAGCCCCTCGTTTGTTGTCCTCTTCTCCCTCTCTGCCTACGGTTTACCGGGCAGTTCTATTTTACGATATATACTACGACTTCGCTAGCTTCCTGCTACGGTTTTCTCCGGTCAGGTCGAGCGGCAGTGGTCGGGGCCGTCACTACGCGGCCATGCTGTGCCTCTAGTGCCAGCGGCGTGTCTGGAGTGTATTTTTTGGCTGTGACAGACCTTTCTTTGTTTCGTGGGTGTTTTGCTGGCTTGTGATGGGGTGTGAACCGACAGTCTGTAGAGTTTTCCATCTGGTGTGGGCCATCCTGTCCAGATTTGACAGGTAATTGAATTGGTTCGGCTTAAAAGAATTAGCCTTTAAAATATATATATACATACACATCGTCACAAACAGAACTGCCCGGTAAACCGTAGGCAGAGAGAGAGAAGAGGACAACAAACGAGGRGCTGTGACAAACTGTTTCGTCGGAGTTTCACCGACTCATCAGGAGGCTGAACCCTCAACAGTCTGCAGAATCCCCTCACTGATTACACTGTAAATGATAATCTACCTTATAACCAAAATCAAAGTAGACTATCACTCACCCACACCAGATGGAATTCTAATATGTATTTACCTAAATGACGCTTTAAATCTTCATTAACCACTTTCTCCCACTTCGTGGCCTCTGGTGACACAACCGCCGCGAAGCGTTCAAGAATCCACCGAAGAGCTAAAAGGTTTCTTGACGACTCTTTGGTATAATGGATGGGACTAATTGGGTGGTTCCGGAGATTCTGACTTTTCTTACTTCTAAAATAGGTTATATATATATATATATCGTCACAAATAGAACTGCCCGGTAACAGTTCGTATATGATATGATCTGTTCAATATTTTTGAGTATTTTTTTTATTTTTTTTACCCATTTGTGCCCGTTTGTGTGTGTCTGTGTCACTTGGTTGTCTCATTATGTGTCCCTGCCCCCTGCGCATCTCCCTGTTTGTGGGTGGCAACATGGCCTCCACCCGTAGACGGATACAAAAAATGACAAATGGAAATCACCATAGCACTTTAACAAAGCGCGGCCACACATCCGCGACTGCTCATTTGTGTGTTTGTCTGTTTGCTTGTGTTTTTTGCAGATTCATCCAACTGCGAGAAGATTACAAGACATCTAAGATTGCTTCACTATTCCCCTCGACTTCAGATTGAAAAAAATCATGGTGAGTTCCATGCTGCCTCCGGGGCTTCGATCGTGGAAATGGGACCAATTTGGAGAAATGTCCATCTTCAGAATTGGGACAAATTGGGACAAAGGTCCATGTTCAGAAGTGGGACAAATTGGGACAACGGTCCATGTTCAGATGAAGTCCTCGTGACGGAACGTGTGACGGAGCTGTGTTGGGAAAACGAGACCGTCAGAAGTCTGCTGGGAATGACGCTTGTGATGGAGAGCTGATGACCGGAAGAGGAAGAGGAGTAGTAAGGTAGAGAGGCGAAGGGGACACGATTCTTTGTGCTTTTGGTTGCTTACAATTAGGTTGGTGGCGTCAGGCAAAAGCATGGAGCTCATCTTGAAGCTGGGAATCCCTATCAAGGTCACGCAGTTTATGCATACAATTAGGTACAGTACTAAATACAAGAGAGGGGTGATCGGTGGAATTCTTATATATATATATATACTAAATCAGCATGGAGCTCATCTTGAAGCTGGGAATCCCTATGACCCCATCTATGCACATGTTAAACAGCCAGTATCTTATGCACAGATTTTGTCCCGACGCGGGCGTTAACTTGCTGTGTTTCAGCCTGGCTGGCCTACCGGACCGAAACGGTTGGTGGCGTCAGGCAAAAGCGAAAAGGAAGAACTTCCTCGCACTGGTTTTTATCGGCTCGCAGATCGGGAAAAATAGTCGCGGAGGTACTGGTGGTTCTAAGACCCTTTCCAGAGCCGCCGAGAGGGTCCTCCTGGTTGCTCAAATGGGATGACTGAGACTCGGCGGTGACTAACAGCTGATGCGTCACCAAGATAAGCGGTCGGCAATCGCGCCCCATGCAGACTTGGAGAGGGCTGCCATGCGTATCGTGCCATGGACGGGATTCTGTTGCAACTTCTGTTCTTTTTAGACTTCGCTTTTTGTGAGGAACACTTGGTCATCGAGAAAGGAGTGTGTTTTGCACTCGGATTTGTCGTAGATTTCTCCGACTGTTAGTGGATTCGAACTTAGGTCCGTATTTCAACAAATCGAGGGTCTGTTCTTTTTGGACTTTGCCTTTCGCGAGGAGGCTTGGCCATCAATAAAGGAGTGTGTTTTGCGCTCTGCGGAACCGCGGCGTCATCGGTAATAATGTGCTGGGATGTGACGCGAGAACACCCAGCGTCGACTCCGATTAAGAGTTGATCTGTGGCTGCATGGAACTGCTGACCAACTCCGGTTAACAGAACTGTAGCATTCTTCAAAAGAAGATGTCTCGGTAGTGGCAAGAAAAAACACCATTTGGCACACATGCAATTGGTGTTTGTGGAAAGGGAGGGCAAGTAGTGGGGTGACATCAGCGCAGCAATGACCGTCAAGCCTACAAGC